TCACCAGAAGCCTTATTGATAGCATAAACAGTCGGTTGACACATATTTTGTATGTTCTATGTATTATATACTGTCTTATTTCAACAAAGTAAGCTAAAGAAAAGAAAATAATAAGGAAGAGAAGATATATTTACTATTCATTAAGTGGAAGTGAAATGTCATAAAAGTCTTTATCCTCATCATCTTCACTTTGAGTAGGCTGAGGAAGAGGAAGAGAAGGAGTTGGTCTTGCTGTCTCAGAGGTGGTGGAAGCAGAAGGAAATCCACACATAAGTGGACTTGCGCAGATCAAACCCGTGTTGTTCAAGGGTCCATTGTAAATACAATTTTATGAGAAGACAGGCAAGTGGCAAAAGACTTGAAGTTCACAAGATGTTCAGGGAAATGCAAATAGAAACCATTCCTTGCTCTCAGAATAGGGGGGAAAGGGTGGTGACAAAGACATGGAACATCTGGAATTCTCATACATTGTTGTGGGGAGCAAAATTGGTATGAACATTTTGGAAATACATTTTTAATAGAAGTATTTACTAATAGCTATATAAACACATACCCTATAATCCAAAATTCCATTCCTTAGTGCACAAGAATAGTCATAGCAGCAGTTTATGAGTCCCAACTGAAACCAGCCCAAATATTCATTAACAATAGAATGAATAAGCATATTGTGATAAATGTATTAAAATGGGATATTATTCAGCAATGAAAATGAACAGACTAGCACTAACATAGCAATGTGGATGAGTCTCACAAACATAATGTTGAGTAAAAGAAGCCCAACATGAGAATGATTTTGAAACCGCCTTTGCAAAATTATGACTGAGACAGTGAAAGAGATCTAACTTAACCTACTCCATCTTGCTTCTAACTTCCAAGCTGTCCTTGTTCATTACTGGGCATAGGCTGAACTAACTTTGGAAGAAACTTAGCTTGTAGTTTATAATTTAAGCAAAGATGGTAACAGCTCTTTCCCAAAGCATACCTCCTTCTTGCCTGGGGACTAGACCAACACTAGCCACAGGATTAGAAATTATGGTTTAGGAGTCATGCAGCTGGAGGCTACAAGATTCTGACCCTCCCTAGACTGCTCCTAAGATCAGGGCTTGAGACATTTTGCAGACCCTGCACTTGTTGGATCAGCTGGCATTGCTCAGACTGATTAACTGGCTCATCTGATCCTGTGGCCCCCACCCAGGAACTGACTCAGCATAAGAAGAGAGCTTCAACTCCCTATGATCTCATCCCTGACCAATCAGCACTCCTGGCTCATTGGCTTTTTCCCACCCACCAAATTGTTCTTAAAAACTCTGCTCCCTAAATGCTTGGGGAGACTGATTTGAGTAATGATAAAACTCTGGTCTGCCACACAGCCCATCCTGTGTGAATTACTCTTTCTCTATTGCAATTCCCCTGTTTTGATGAATCGGCTCTGTCTAAGCAGAAGGCAAGGTGAACCCCTTGGGCAGTTACAAATTTATTTACATAAATTTGAAATGACAAAAACAAGTTATGGTGATCACATCAAGACAGCAGTTAACTTTAAGAGAGTGGGAGGTGACTGAGAGAGACACAAGGGGAAATTCTGGAATGATTTTCATGTTCTATTTCTTGACTTTATGAAGGATAAGCATTTTTGGTTTTTAAAAACTCATCAATTTGTACACATTTATGAGTTTTATCTTTGTCTGAGTGTGTTATATGTTAATAAAAATTCTGTGGTAAGTCTGGGCATGGTGGCTCACACCTGTAATCCCAGTACTTTGAGAGGCCAAAGCAGGTGGATCATCTGAGGTCAGGAGTTCGAGACCAGCCTGGCCAACATGGTGAAACCCCTTTCTACTAAAAATACAAAAATTAACCAGGAGTGGTGGTGGGTGCCTGTAATCCCAGCTACTCAGGAGGCTGAGGCAGGAGAATCACTTGAGCCTGGGAGGCTAAGTTTGCAGTGGGCCGAGATTGTACCATTGCACTCCAGCCTGGATGACAAGAGGGAAACTCTGTCTCAAATATATATATATTTATATATATATGTGTGGAATGTAATTATGTGGAATGTGGTTCCCATGTGAGTCTGACTTTGCCAGTGACTTGGAACTCTGCAGCCTTTCTTGGAGGAGATGCCTCATCTCCATGAGCATGAGCAGAAAGATAAGAGAAGCAATGAAGAGTTAACAAGGTGCAACCCCATGAGAAGCCTTGTGAAGTGACAAAGCAACTTTTGCACCATGAACCCATGTACACTCAGTGTCAAAGGAGAGTCACTGCTAGAGGGAAGGCTCACGCATCAAGGAGTAGGGGAGGGCCTCAGGGAGATAGCAGATACTGCATCTGGGTCTTGCTCTGCCCATTAGGCAGGCACTGCTGTTAGAGAGAAGAAAACTGAGGCATGTAAAGATTTGGTACAGAGCGCCAGGTCACGTGAAGTGGCAAGATCTGAATCCAGGATTTGAACTTTCAGCAGCCTGTCTTCAGAGCTTGAGAACTTTACAACTATGCAGTGCAACCTCTTGCAAGGGCGAGGTTGTCCAGTAGACATGGAAAGAGAGCCACATATGTGATTTTAAATCATCTAGCAGCCACATATGAAAAAGTAAGAAGAATGAGGTGAAATTAGTTTTAACATTATATTTTAACCTGATATATCCAAAACATTATTTCCACATGTAAGAAATACAAGAATAAAATTAATGATGAGATAGTTCACTATTTTTAAAATACTGATATTTCACTGTTTTTTAAAAATCTTTGAAATCCTGTGGATATTTTCTATGACAGCGGATGTCCGTGTTGTACTCTCCCATCAGATTAGTCCTTACGCTTCGCTGGTCAGAATCACATAACCAAACCTAAATAATTATTGCTGTAGAAGACCAAAAATGTGCCATCCAGCGTAGGACTGTAGGAGACCTGAAAATGATACCCCCAAATACGCCTCTTCATCATAAGGATTATTTTGAAGGTGTTATTTTGAGGAACTGCACACATGAGATTTACAGCACCTCTCTATTTGGACTAGCCACATTGGCAGGGTTTATGTGGCTAGTGGCTACTGTACGGGATGGCGCAGGTCTAGAGAGCTGCAAAGAAAAGAGGAAGACTATCCCAGTGAGAGGAGCAGCCTGGGCAAATGCTCAGGACAGGAGTGCTCTGAGCATTTGGGGCATCTTTCATGAACGGCCTGAATCTGAGCATTCTGACAACTGCTTCAAGGGAAATATATTCTGCCACCTGGTAGACTCCTTTCTGCCTCTAGTAATGAAAGAGAGCTGGAGTGCACATCCAAATGGGCCTCACTCAGAATCTCATGAACACACGGGCTTTCAGGCCCACAAGTCAGGATGAGGTAGAACCTACTTTCAGCCATGTCCCTCTAAGTCTCCAAGTTTCCAAGGCCAAGCCTGGCCCTAACGCCCTCCATCTCCACCTGACCCCCAACCTCCTCAGGCCTATCCCTCCTCCCCCTGCCAAGCACTCCCTTCTCAGGCTCATTCTTCACTGTCCTTACCCCTCCCACCCACCTCCATCCTCTTCCTCATTTCTGACTTCACACTTTGGGGCTGCTATTGTTCCTTCTTGCCTCCTCCTCTCTACCTCTCCAAATCTCCCCAACGGTTTCCTTAGGACCTTAAAGTAAGCCGTTTACATGATCTGTGAAGAGGCCAGCTCTAACCTGCAATCACAGTTTGGGCTGCACAAGCCAGCATTGTTCTCATATCCCGTATATCATAGTCTGGTTAGTTTCACAGCCAACTTGTCCCCCAACTAGAGCCATATCTTCTACCAACACAGTGTCAGAGAAATAGAAGGCAACTTAAAATAAGTGTCGTGAGAATAAAATCTCCAGGGACTGAAAGAAACAAAGTTCTCTTGCCAATAGGACTCTTAAAAGGTGACATTTTATAGTCATTGTGCATTTGCCAAACAATGTCCGGCTAAATCATTCCTTGAAGTCTGTCTGATTACACCATTAACTATGAATTAATTCTCCATCTGTATAGGAAGCAGATATGCAGTAATGTGAACTATGTCCATGTTTAACTCATTTAGAAATACTGGCAAGAGCCTGGGAGCGGTGGCTCACACCTGTAATCCCAGCACTTTGGGAGGCCAAGGTGGGTGGATCACCTGAGGTCAGGAGTTTGAGACCAGCTTGGCCAACATGGTGAAACATCATCTCTAGTAAAAATACAGAGATTAGCCGGGCGTGGTGGTGGGTGCCTGTCATTCCAGTTACTCAGGAGGCTAAGGCAGGAGAATCACTGGAACTGGAGAGGTGGAGGTTGCAGCCAGCCAAGATTATGCATTGTACTCCAGCCTGGGCGACAAGAGTGAGACTCCATCTCCAAAAAAAAAAAAACAAAAAAAGAAAGAAAAAGAAATACTGGCAAGAGTGGACTGAGAGATGCTTATTTGCAGACAAACATGCCATGCAGGTGTAGGGGTGTTGTGAACAATGACATGTGTTAGGGTCAGCTGCCACCAGCGATACATGACATGTAAATAAATAATGTTCTCAAATGTTTGCAATGATGCCTTATTTCTATGTAATCTCGGAAAAAATTAGTTAAAATAATTTTACTATCATCCCTGAAGGCATAGTCCTTGCTTTGGTGTCTTCATCAAGTAATACTGGCAAATGCTCTGTTTCTGGGAAACAGGTGGCTATTTCTTTTTTCTTTTTTCTTTTTTTTTTTTTTTTTGAGATGGAGTCTCTCTCTGTCACCCAGGATGGAGTGCAGTGGCATGTTTTTGGTTCACTGCCACCTCCGTCTCCTGAATTCAAGCGATTCTCCTGCTTCGGTCTCCTGAGTAGCTGGGATTACGGGTGCCTGCCACCACACCCAGCTAATTTTTGTATTTTTAGTAGAGACGGGATTTCGCTGTGTTGGCCAGCCTGGTCTCTAACTCCTGACCTCATAATCCACCCACCTCGGCCTCCGAAAGTGCTGGGATTACAAGCATGAGCCACCGTGCCCGGCCACAGGTGGCTATTCCTACAGATAAAACCAGTGGTTGCCAGGACCATTGTTAGAGGTGTTCTGTAAACCACAGGGCTAAACCTCTGTGCCAGGACCTGAGTCAAGTGCAAGATCAGCTGATAATTTGCAAGGTTGCTTCCTCTCTGACCTGCTTCTCTCCGCATCTGTGAAATGGGAGGAAATGAGCTTATATCACGGGGTGGAATAAAACACTAGGTAGAATGTACACATATTGCAGGACTCTGCTGCTCACTGAATGGAGTCCTGAAGAGAAAGAGAACGAATGTGCCTTCTCTGATCCTCCCTGAAGTAGAAATGAAGCTTTAACTCTAGTTTCATAAAAAAATTATTGTGGGGTGCAGGATGTGAACCTCAGGAGGAGAGAGCAGAATTAAGCACATCATTAATTCATGGTGCCCAGTCATCATCATTCTGGGCAAGGCTCTTTCTTGTTTTGTTTGCTCTATTTTTATTTATATGAGTCATCCCTGACTTCTGCTTGCCCCCACCCTCTCCGCAATAGGTGCTCACTAAATGTTCTTGGGGGTGTGTATATAGTAATACATTTGAAATTGTATGATGTTGCATTACTCTGTCTATTCTCTCTTTCTCTCTCTCTCTCTCAATAGATAGATAGATAGATAGATAGATAGATAGATAGATAGATAGACGGACAGATAAATAGATAGATAGATATGTGGTAGGAACTATAGAGCTCATGCTTTCTCTTCCTTTTTCACTCAGCATTATGCTTTCAGAGTTGTCCAGGGCTTGATGCACATCGTTCCATATTTACCTACCCATTCCCCAGTGGTGGACACAGAGGTAGATCATCAAGCGTAATGGTCAGGACTTCATCCTCAGGAAGCAGGCTGCCTGGCATCACACCCTATTCACCAGCTGTGTGAATTTAGCCCGTTTACTCCACCTCCCACACCTCAGTTTTCTCGTTTCTAAAATGGAGATACTAAGAGTATTGAGAAGATGTAAAGTGTTTAGCACACATAAGCACCCAGCAAGTGTTAGCCATCAGCATCAGTATCATCGTTTTCATTCCCACACCCAGTGCTGCAATGAACACCCTCATACACATCCCTTTATGAGTCCATGCCTGGGTTTGTCTGGGGTGTAGGCTCTAGAAAGGGGTGGTTGGGTCACAGGGCGTAGACACACTTCATTTCACCATGTACTGCCAAATTACTCTCCAGAATGACTACCCCGGTCTACAATCCCACCATCAGGTCCTGAGCATTCCGGGAAAGGTTTTCGCAGCCAGAGAGAGCACAGATTTTTAACGTCTCCCCTCCAGTTGCACTGACATCATCTGTCTGAGAGACTTCTGTCCAAGTTGGATGGAGAAACAGCTCTAAGACACGTGGCTGATTTAGCAGTCTGTGCTATTCTGCACTCTACAGCCCTAGGCCCTGTGGGGATTATGAAACAAGGGGGAATCAGAATCACCCTAATTGGGAGGAGAGGTTCAACGTGCTTCCCCAGGGGTTTCTGACCTGCACACTCTAGAAGGATGTGGACCTCCAGTTCATTCCCTGTGGGTAAAATCCCTGCCTCTTGGAAGCATTGTCACTGATGGAGGATGTCAGCCGAGGACAAAAGGCAGAGAACCATGAAGGGAGGACAGCCCTTCAGTGGCTCAAGGCCCTGGAGAAGCTGGAAGATGCTGATGCAACTTGATGGGTCAGGGGCATTGAATGTCCCTTATTCCAGAAAATTATTCTATTGTCAAAGATCTCTCCACAGCCTGGAGAATACCAGAAATGCCACTATTTAACTCAGTCTTTGGAATTAAGGCCACGTTTTCTCTGGAAGACCATGTACTATCAACCGTTACCTTGGAGGGCTCTGGGCTCAATGCCTGTTAGTACCAGAGAGTGTAAAAGATCTAAGTGCTAGTTGCTGAAGAATTTGGACATCTGATAATTTTTTGGTAGGTGAAGCAGATGTGCATCTCGGGCTCCCTGGGGATGATGAATATAGCTCCGGGAGAGATGCTGAGGCTCATGTAAGTGTGCCATTTAAATCCAGTCTGACATCCACATCATCATAAAGATGTTAAACCTAACAGCTTCTAGTAATCCCAAATCTAGGTCTGGAATTAAATATCCTCCAAAATGCTCCTTTTTATGAAAGGCAAGTCAGTAAAATTTTGTTTCCTTTGTGTATGCCTCCCTCATAAGAGTTCATTCAACTTCAAAAGCAGAAACCGTGCAATTCACCCATTGCCTCACCCACTGGTGAACTGTTTCTTACTTGGTCATCCTCCCCTTCTAAAAAGTAGCGCTCTGGCTCCCAATTGTACTGAAGCTGCTAGGAAGTGAAATTGACAGTTGGATATATGAAGGTTTGTAGCCCCCAGGGATGAGAAGCGGAGAAAGAAACTTTGAATCAGGTGATGAGCAAGCAGCTTCCTGCCTAGTGAAGCAACAATCATGTGATGCTGGTGGGCTCCCGGCTTTCACTCTCTGGTCGCAGCACTGTCTGCTAAGTATTCAAATTTCTGGATGCTAGAGAAGATAGAGAAAAAAGATTTAAATTGGCATAGCAATAGATCACCAATTTTAAACATTGTTTATTTTTCATTACTTTTTATTCCTTGTAATTTTTTCTGTGCAGCAATAAGCTGTCATCTAGCAACAGATATTTGTTGATGAGTGAGAAGTCAGTGAAGGACAGGGCTCCTCACTCAGTTCTCAGATCTCACTGAGGCTTGAGACCACTCTCACTTTCCCACATGGCCATTGATACCATAAGGTAAATATAGATTAAAATTAAAGAAATGGGCCGGGCGCGGTGGCTCATGCTTGTGATCCTAGCACTTTGGGAGGCCAGGATGGGCAGATCACGAGGTCAGGAGTTCAAGACCAGCCTGGCCAACATGGTGAAACCCTGCATCTACTAAAAATACAAAAAAAAATTAGCTGGGCACGGTGGCAGTAGTCCCAGCTACTCGGGAGGCTGAGGCAGGACAATTGTTTGAACCAGGGAGGCAGAGGTTGCAGTGAGCCAAGATGGACCATTGCACTCTAGCCTGGGCAAAAAGAGCAAAACTCTGTCTCAAAAAAAAAAAAAAATTAAAGAAATGTTGAAATCTGATATAAACATCTCAGCTGGAGGGTGGTTAAGCTATGGTTGAAGCATTAGTCTGAGGTGTGGCAGGATGGGAATCTGGGGGGCCTGAAACCTAGGCCAACAGATGGCTTAAGAGGGAGAGAGATCAAGGTCTTATGAGGATCAGGGTTAGAAAGTGGGTCAGCCTAAGAAACAATGATGTTTACAATGAACCCCTTAAAAAAAGGCAGGGATTGATGTTGCAAAGGAAAAGATGATTTAAACAAGGAACATCTGATGGAAGAGGCAGGTTGAAAGGTGACAGTGGTGCTGGATTTAGGGGCAGGGATCTGATGTACAGGCAGTGGAGGGTGCTGGGATGAGTAAAATCACAAGGAATAAAAGAAGTAGAGGCTTGAGATCTGGGTCTAGAAGGACCTTTGTTACAGTTTCCCCTTGCCCATGTTTTCTCCCTTTACAGCACATTTCATCCCCATCTCCTCCTCCCACTCCTGCATATAGGCAGCGGGGCTCAAGCTAGACCCCACAGCATCCAGAGGAAGGCATCTTTGGGGGGTTTGTCTCTCCAATTTGGTGTCAAATTGATATTAATGAGTGTCCTTGTCTCTACCTGCTGGAACCAGGCCCAGCTGGATTCAAGCCTCTGTGGCCCTCCAAGTGAGGCCCCCAAACCCACCCAAAGGTTTTCTCTGCCCCAGAATAGACAGGCCCAAGAAGAGAAATTTACCCAATCTTGCCCAGCCATCTAGGTCCTGGACCCAATCACTCTGGCCTCTAATCTGTCTCTGACTTTGACCCTCAGCTCTAAAAACTGCACCAGATTCTTCACTCAAAAACATTGATGGACCGTCTGCTATGAACCGGGCATGCTCCTCCTTCCTGGAGATAGAGTTGTGAACAAGACTGTGTCCCTATGGTCATGGAGACTGTGGCCTAGTGAGAGACAGAATTCAGTAAATAGGCAATTTCAGGAAGATGTGATAAATACTGGGATGGGGAAGTGGAAACTCTTAGGAGGGCAGGGGGAGGCAGGGTGGGGCAGAAAAGGCTTCCTAGAGGAAGTGAGAGCTAAATCCAGATGCAAAGGACCAGTAGAACTGAACCAAGCAAAGAAGAGGTCTGTGGGTGTGGGCAGGGCAGTGATTTTGGAGGAAGGAATGGCAAGTTCAATGGCTCAAAGGCTAAAGTGTAGGACAGGTTCAAGGCTCTGAAGATAATATGGCTGAACCCAGAGGATCATGGAGATGGGGCTGAAATGTGATGGCTTCCTACACAGCTGTGTGAAAAAGTGTGTCCACTGAGCATCCAGGCTTGGAAAGAAAAAAAGAGTCGTGTCTGCCCTGGATTGGACTATACATTTCTTGAAAAAAAACTGTGCTTATTCATCTCTGCATCCCCAGCATCTTGCAAAGTATGCATAGTAATCTGTCAATAAACTTTCATTCAAGTGTTCAATTATTGCATGGGCTGGCTAATAGCTTTTCTCTCCCTACAATCCCATATGATGGATCACTGCAATGACAGTGTTATGGTTGCATAGTAAGTATTAGAGCAAACGCTGGCCTCAGTCAGGTGGTAGTGGTATGTTAAGAATACACAGACTAAAATGAAGATATTCTACATTCTATACATTCAATACATTCCAAGAGGGATTAAAGATATATCAGGATCCTCCCTGCCACCACATAGTACTACACGTGGACACTTTTGATTTATATGTCTCTTTTCTTCTTCAGAAGTTCTTTTTTCTACCCCAATTTGAAATGTTTTATAAAAATTATTTGAGGATACTGAAGTTTTGTGGCAGTAATATGGCAATGACTCACCTATATTTCACAATAAAATACTGTAAAAAGCAACACCCACAACTTGCCAATGAATTCCTCAGTTATCTTCTCGATGACCTATGAAAATAGAAACATTTTCTTTAATCATCAGCATAGAGAATACTGAAGACTTTGTCTACAATTTTAAAAAACATCATTCAGCACTAAAATATTAGAACAGAACTGGATTACCTTAGTTTTTAATCTCTAAACACAAATTCCAGATTATGTCAAAACATATAAGTATTCCTGAGTTACTACTAGGGTCATAGAAGAAAGAATATTTCTAGTAGGTTCTAGGAAGGTGATGATTATTAGAAATGAGGTAGTATGCCATAAATAGAGGAAAATGTAAATTGGGGTAACACTAAGCTTTTGGATTTAGGTGACAATTGCTCCTGACCTTCTCAAAGAATGATTACCCACAAGCTCAGGCAACCCTGCTTAAAATTCTGCAAGTCAAGCTGGTTTATTCAGGATACAGCAGGTAGGATGTATCTGAGGGATCTCACTCTGAACTTATTGTGGCTACTGGTTAGGATAGGAATCGGGTGAAAGATGAGGCCTGGCTCATTTGGAGTTAATAAAAGCTGGTGAACTATAAGGGGAAAGGGATGGATATTCAAGCAAAAGGTCAGCAACACTTTGGTCTTTGCAACTAAGCAATCATCTTTATATAGCACCCTCTTCTTGGGAAAAAGAAACTGTATTCAAAAGATCAAAAATTTAAATCAGAAGAATTATATGGCTAAGCATGAAATTAGTGTGAAGTCAATGGTTAGAAATTCTTCAGGTATATTTCTATTTTACAGCAGCATATCTATTTTAAAAGCTATTTAATTCAGAAATGTTTAGATAAGGGATACATTGGTGGAAACTAATCAAACTTTAAAATTGCTGGTGCGGGCAGATTTATTTTCTTAAAACTTGAATGATTTTGCTGCTAATATGTTCTCTTCAGCAGTCCGGAACAAAACAAGTATATAAATTCTAGCTTCAAATAACAGAATTACTACTCCTTGAAAGACAGAAAAACTGAATCAAGAAAACCCTCATGGTTTTTCCCTAGAGCCAGGGAAAGTGGAAGGTTCCCTAACGATGAGAAAGTCCAGCCTGACTTTTTCTGTGAGAAACAGAACCATGCAGATAGTAGTCAGATGAGGCTTCAGTTTCCAAGAGCCCTACCCTGAGTGTCCTATTTTAAATTGAGAACAGTCCGCCCTGAAACTTCCCATCCCAACCACTTTACTCTGTTTTTTTCCATAGCACTTACTTCCTTCTAATATGCTATTTACTTTTGCGTGTCTGTCTCCACTCACCAGAATGTAAGTTCTACAGAGGTTAAGGATTTTTTTTTGCCAGTTTTGTTCACTGATGTATCTCACCTTCTTAGAACAACGACTGGTACATAGTAGATACTGAATTTGTCCTTATGTAATCAAAACTGGGAGACAGTAGACTAAAGAAGGAAGGTCAGACTATTAAGGACAAGTGCTAGTGCTTCAAAGTAGGTTATGAGCAAATAGTAAAGTATCTAACAGGGAGGGGCCAACAGTTAAAATTCAGTGAGGCCCAGGATAACAAGTTGCTCAGAAGCTTTAAAGTCCAAAGTAAGTCAGCAAAGATTGAGAGTCCAGAAGACATTTAATTCTTTGACAGACACTTTAGTTACCTACTCACTTTCCACTTCCCACTTCTACTCACCATCTGAAACCTTATTTTGGTTATAATAACATTGTGCACCACTTCAGATGGGGAGAAATGGACTAAGCCAATTATGACCATTCTTTTCCCAGTTTCTTAGCTGCTCAGTCCAGGCCAGTGAGAACCAAATAGAAGTCAACTGGGCGCATTTTGGAAAATAGAAATTGGTTTTGCTGGTAAATGGAGACGTAAATGATTGGCATAGCCTTTCCCTCTTCTTCCTACCTTGTGCATGGACATTAGAGCTGGAGCTGTCCCAGCCACCTCAGGTGCTCAGGGAATGACCAAGAAAATTCTCTTTATTTAATTCACTGTACAGGTTATTTACCTGCTTGTTCCAAAATTTATTTTGCACTCTTACCTGTAAATAAAATTTCCCAACTCGCTTGCCAACTGCCTTCCAGCTAGATATAGTCATTGGCAGCACTAGGAGGAAATTGAGGAATAAGAGGAAGAGAGAAGCTGGGAAATTTATCTTCCCTTCCTCTGCTTCCAGCAGTATCTCCAGTGTCGACATGGTCTTCTCCATAATCCCGGCCAATGCCAACAGGCCCTCTTCCATGGCCCTAGCTCCCACCAAGCAGCCATCTTACACATCTTACACATCCGGCTCCAGGGGACTCTGACTTCCAAGCTCTGGTACACACTATCTCCTTTCTTTGTCCCTTCAGTCCTGTGGGTGGTAGTGGCTTCCTGCTCTTACTCATCTTTAAGCTGCTAATCTTTAAGAAGCCCTATTTGGCTTCTTAGCTCTTCCAGTCTTTTTGTACCTAGTGCCCTGTGTTAAATTATTTCTATTGGACACCTGGCATGAACTGAGCTCTCCTATCTGGATCCTGATTTATATTACATCTTATTTGGCTTGTTCATTGCTTGACATGAACTACTTTTCAAATGGACTTAAACCTTAAGAAATAATTACAAATTCCTTATCTTGTGGACTGGTAGATTTTGTAGTCTATCCCCTTTTACAGGGTACTCATGGCCTCAGTGGGTAAGAAGAGAGTAAAGACAGCAAGCTGGTGTGGTCATATATGTGTGGACACATACACACACATATATGTGTGTGTATATATACATATATAACCACATGGTGATATATGTCTTTACTATCTCCGTACCCGCTGAGGTCATGAGCACCCTCTAAAAGCCGTGGCTGCTCCCTGTCTGGGAGATTCCAAAATCTGACTCTTCCATGTTATACTTGGAACATTCTTTCTTATTTTATCTCTGACTCACTCCATCCCAATGGCTCTATACCCTGACTCACCCTTTCTGCCAAGCGCCTTAAGATAGATAACATATTTAGATAGTCTATCATCTCACCCCAAGATTTTCCCTCCCCAATTTCTCCCTTGGATATACTCACCTTCAGCCATAAAGCAAATGATGTACTATTCTACAGTTCACCAGTAGTCTCTTGGAACCAAAAACAGCCTGGACCTAAAAGCATCTGGCCTTCTACCCCTGCAAAGAAAGATCCAAACAGTATGTATGTGTGTATATGTGTGCACATGTATTGCAGGATGAATTTAAAATTTCCTTCTTCTCATGGGTGCAGGACAGGATGGATGCTTTGGAGGATCAACAAATTTATTATTTCAACCAATATATATTTAGCTTTTGCTTTGGGCTTATTCCTCTTCTATATGCCAGGGATACAGCAAGTGAACAAAGCAGATAAATCTCTGCCCTCTGACCTCCTAGAGCTGATTCTGACTCTCCAGAATGGCAAAGAGAGCCATTAGGTCCTGTTATTAAGGTTATTAAGGTCATGTTTCCATAAGAGATGGGGTCAAAGTTTTGGTTTCAAAAGGAATACCCTTTCTCCTTATAAGATTAGATAGTGTTGTCCACCCGAAAAATGACTGCTCATTCTAGCAAGGTGTGGCTTGCTTCGTGGGAAAATCAGCAAGAAAATAAACCAGAATGCTAAATGATAAGTAGACCAAAATAAAGTGAAGTCAACACTTCTACTTTCTCTCATTGGCTGGAATTCAAACCCTCCTCATCTACGGTCAGCAATTTGGGGGTTCAGAACATGATACTGCAAAGTATGGTGCCTTGGCATGCTAAGTACTTTGAACTGAAGGAGATTGGGAGGACCTCAGAAGCAAGGTCTCTATGACCTTCCCCCGCCTTCCTGTCTTCCACTTCTCTTTCTTCTCTGAAGGGAGTCAGGGAAACCAGAATTCTTCTTCCCCAAGGCAGATCATAAAAACTAGAACTCCACTCACCCAAAGCAAGCTATGAAAACTAGAAAGGTCACGCTGTCTCTCTCTTCACCCTGCAAGACCCTCACTCCAGAGGGTCCTGCCCCAGGGAAAGGAATGCTACAGAGAGAGGCCACAAAGAATCTGAGCAGACAGCCCTTGCTAGGTTTTCCACTCAGTCTATTATCATTAGATCATACCCTTTTGCCTAGGCATGTTTCTACACAGCTGTCCTTTCTTCATCAAACGGAAGTGTAAAAATGGACACTTTTCCCTGGGTCTTTGGGTCTTTATTTCTGAAAGTTCCCATGTGACATAAGATTTTGTATTATGCTTTTTGCTTCTTAAACTGTCTTTTGCTATAAGAATGTTGGTTGTGACCCTTATGATGGGTAAGGAAAGGCATCACACCTTTCTGCCCTGATGCAGTACCTGAGTTACAGTCTTCATCAGCTTTCGGTCCAGGACTGAGGCACCTAAAGTGTGAAGGATGTGTGAAGGGAAAATAAATCTAGGGACACCAAATTCACTAAGCCAAAGTGAAAAGTCAAGCTAGGAATTGCTTTGGGCAAGCTTGCCTCTCATTCTATTTCTTAAAAAAGACAGCTACTAAGAAAAAAAAAAAAAAAACAACTACATACCTCCTTCACAATTTGTCCACAAGGCAATTCCTTGCAGACAAAGTACAGACAGGCTCAAAGTTATCCCTCTGCTCACCGAGATAAATGCACATCGAATTGCTTCCTTTGGAAATACTAATCAGAAACTCAAAAGAATGCAATCCTTTGTCTCTTGTCAATTTATGACCTGGAAGTCCCCTCCGTGCTTCGAGTTGTCCCACCTTGCTGAAATGAACCAATGTATATCTTACATATATTGATTGATGTCCTCTGTCTCCCTAAAAATGTATAAAACCAAGCTGTGCCCCGACCACCTTGGGCACATGCCGTCAGCACCTCCCGAGGCTGTGTCATAAGCGAGTCCTTAACCTTGGCAAAATAAACTTCCTAAATTGACTGAGATCTGTCTCTGATATTTGGGGTTTACAGATGCAAAAAGGGACTGGGTGATAGGGAGGAGGATGACAGAATCTGTTTCTTACTGAGAAAGAGTGGAATTATCAGAGAAAATAATGAGAGAGAGAAGGAGTGGGAGGGAAAAAGAGAGGGAGAAAAAGAAAGAGACACAGAAAAAGAGAGAAGAGAGATAGTGTCTTCATGGGACTCCCTCCTTTTGAAAGCTTGAATATATTACTCCCTCCACAGCTACACTGGAATATGTCATGCATCCGTGTGAAGAGACCACCAAACAGGCTTTGTGTGAGCAGTAAAGCTCTTTAATCACATGGGTGCAGGCGGACTGAGTCTGAAAAGAGAGTCAGCAAAGGGTGATGGGATTATCATTAGTTCTTATAGGTTTAGGATAGGTGGTGGAGTTAGGAGCAATTTTTTGCGGGCAGGAGGTATATCTTCTTACAAAGTACATTCTCAAGGGTGGGGAGAATATTACAAAGGACCTTCTTAAGGGCAGGGGAATAATATTACAAAGTACCTTCTTAAGGGTGGGAAGGGTGTGTTGTCACAAAGTCAATTGATTAGTTAGGGTGGGGCAGGAACAAATCACAATGGTGAAATGTCATCAGTTAAGGCTATTTTCACTTCTTTTGTGAATCTTCAGTTGCTTCAGGCCTTCTGGATGTGTACGTGCAGGTCACAGGGGATACGATGGCTTAGCTTGGGCTCAGAGGCCTGACAAAGGATATATTCTTTAAAATTCTAGTTAGCATCAACATTCCAGGATCTAAGATCTATAGCAGAATGGAAAAAATCTCAAGTTCATTAACTGGATTATATCTCATTTGATAAGGTTCAACATTTCTTAAGGAAGAACACTGTGTTTTTATTAGTTCTCATAAAGAAATAAAAAGTACGTTCTAATTTTCAAAAGTAGTTATGAATTTTATGCATTATATGTCCCAAGAAAGGTCTAAGTTCAATCAACTTGGTTGAACTGGTTTCTATAATCAGGATAAAAATTCCTTCTAAAAGTAAAAAAATAACTGCTATATTAAACTGAAGTGAGATCTTTGAAATATTTTAATACTTACTTTGCCTTTATGATCTGGCTTAATCTTCACATCTACCCTATGAGGTAAACAGTATTTTAAATTTTGCATTTATAGGTGTGGAGACCGAGCTTTGGAAAAGCTGAATAACCTGCTCAAAGCCACTTGGCCAGTGGTGATGGAGCTGGGATCTGAACTCTGGCAAGTTGATAGCTAGCTATTTATTCCACTATCCTATATTGCCTCAGACACACTAGAGGATGTTAAAGTGGCAAAAGACAGTAAGAGTCTTGAACTGTGCTTGCTTTAATCTTCCCTATGAAATTTAAAACAAAAATGCTTTGTGTTTCTTTTTCTCTAATGAACACATATTGCTTCAGTTTATAAAATGTGTACTTGTGATATATCAATCCACTTTCATCAACTGAATGGATATTCAGAGCAGAAAAAATTTCTAAACAATGACAAAAAACATTTTGAGCAAATAATTGTAAAGCTAAGCGTAACTCAAGATACTGTTTCCCAAAACAGACTGCTATGGGTTGAATGTGCCCCTTGAATTCATGTTGGGAACTTAACCTCCAATGCAACAGTGTTAAGAGGTGAGATCTTTAAGAGGTAACTGGGTCGTGCAGGCTCTGCTCTGCCCTGATGCGGGGATTAACGTGGTTAGGATGAATTCAGTCCCCTTCCACCATCCCCGAACTTGTGCTCTCTTGCTGTCTGCTTTCCTCCATGGGATGATGCAACAAGAAGGCCCTTGCCAGATGTAGGCCCCAAGACCTTGGACTTCCCAGCCTCCAGAACTATGAGAAATACATCTTTATTCTTTATTTTATTTTTATTTTATTTTTTTGAGACACAGTCTCACTCTTTTGCCCAGGCTGGAGTGCAGTGGTGCTATCTCGGCTCACTGCAAGCTCCACCTCCCTGGTTCATGCCATTCTCCTGCCTCAGCCTCCCAAGTAGCTGGGACTACAGGCGCCCACCACCACACCCAGCTAATTTTTTGTATTTTTAGTAGAGACAAGATTTCACCATGTTAGCCAGGATGGTCTGGATCTCCTGACCTCATGATCCGCCCACCTTGGCCTCCCAAAGTGCTGGGATTATAGGCGTGAGCCATTGCGCCCAGCCTAAATCTTTATTCTTTATAAATTACCCAGTTTCAGGTATTCTGTTACAGCGGCACGAAGTGAACTATGACACAGACAGACAACTTCATATTTAATTAGAGCAGCACACATCCCAACCATATACAAAAACAGCTCTGTGTGTGTTTTCCAAGAGCAGAATCACCATTTTCATGGTTTTATCATCATCACTGAGACACTTAAGAGCAAAGCAGAATATATTATCCAGGTTTCAGAAGAGAGGCAGGAATGTTAGCAAATACTTCCATGTGAAATTTTTGTTTAGCTTACTTAACAGGATTTTCAACCTGCATGGTAAATAAACTTTTTGGATATTGGGCTGTTTCCATTTTTCCTCTACAAGTTTGAAAGATGATTTCCTCCAGTGAAATGGTTGTGAAAATAATGGATGAAAGAAGTTTTAAGTGCTCCAGCACCTAATGTAAAGGCACCGTAAGATTGTACCCCACACACATTCTGCAGGAATGAGCTTATCAGGTGCCAGCCTCAAGGCAACTAGTCTGAAAGGACACTGAAGAGCTTTCCATTCTAAAGACTCTTGTTTTCCACCTTCCTTATCTTTAAGTGAGGAGATAAGTAGCAACAAAACTATGTATATCACTTCCTACAGAATTCTTGCTCCCTTATCCACATAGCTTCATCCAGTTTCAAAAAGGAAATACAATGGACTTTATCACCCTCACTCAATGGCCCCACTGCAGCAAATCTTTGTGGTCTACAGCATAATTTTCCAGATTATTGGAACAGATCCATTTTCCAGATATTTGTGAACACAGCTGCTGACTGCCTTATCAGTGGGAGCAAGCAACAGGCAGCATAACCCTAGTTTTTTTTGTTGTTGCTGTTAAAAATAGGAGCATAGCCAGCTAGCACTCTGGGGTTGGGATGGTGAATGAAAGGATATAGAAACCACAAAGAAAAGGGGAGAGAGAAAGAATGTCAAAACTCCACTATAGGGGGCTGGCTTTTATACAAAATATTTTTTAATGCCTTTGACCTGACAGCTGCTGATCGAGTTTATGAGTTCAACTGCTTCCATCTGTGTTGCATCTACAATGAAGATCAGTCCTATCCTAAATTCCCAGACTCCTCCAGCAAAGTGTCATATTCCACAGGTTAGGAGATTTATAGCGCTGGTTCACTAACGTTGTATGTAGAAATTGGGAACGGTGGTTCTCAACCTGACTTATGTAATGGAATCCCTTAAAAGCTTTAAAAACTGCTGAAGCCTGGACCCTCACCCCCAGCATTTTGGATTTAATTAAGCTAGATACACTCTTGACCTCAGAATTTTGAAACTCTCCCCAACTTTCTTGGTCCTAGACAACAGTGTGAGGCCCAATGCTCTCAAACCTGCTTCTTGAAACTGCCTTTGCAAAATTATGACTAAGACAGTGAAAGAGATCTAACTTAATCAATTCCATCCTGCTTCTAACCTCCAAGCTGTCCTTGTTCATTCCTGGGTGTAGGCTGAACTAACTTTGGAATAAATTTAGTTTATAGTTTATAGTTTAAAACAAAAACGATAACAATCCTTTCCCAAAGCAGACCTCCTCCTTGCCTGGGGATTAGATTGCCTTTGTAGGACTAACGATAGCCACAAGATTAGAAATTATGATTTAGGAGTCATGCCACTGGAGGCTACAAGATTCTGACCCTCCCTAAACTGCCCCTAAGATCAGGGCTTGAGATGTTTTGCAGACCCTGCACTTGATGGATCAGCTGGCACCACCCAGAACAATAAACTGGATCACCTGATCATGTGGCCCCACCCAGCAAATGACTCAGCACAAGAAGACAGCTGCGACTCCTTATGATTTCATCCCTGACCAATCAGCACTCCTGGCTCACTGGCTTCCCCCCACCCACCAAATTGTCCTTAAAAACTCTGCTCCCTGATTGCTTGGGTAATGTGATTTGAGTAACAGTAAGACTCCTGGTCTCCCACACGGCTGGCTCTGCATGAATTACTCTTTCTCTATTGCAATTCCCCTGTCTTGAAACGGCTCTGTCTAGTCAGCTGGCAAGGTGAACCCCTTGGGCAGTTACATTCTGAGGCCGAGACTCTCTACCTGAAAATCAGGATTCTTTGGGACACAGTAAGGATTACACAGGTTGTCAGTGAATATGGTCTTGGCCATCTGGGGGTCTCCTGTGGCTCTACAAGTCACTTCTTTAAATGAAGACTGGGGCTTTAAGACAGAAGTTTCCTCTAGCATACCCACAATGCTGCACTTTCTTTTTGTTTTTTTATTTTGAGATGGAGTCTTGCTCTGTCGCCCAGGCTGGAGTGCAGTGGTGCCATCTCGCTCACTGCAAGCTCCGCCTTCCATGTTCACGCCATTCTCCTCCCTCAGCCTCCCGAGTTATGTGGTACTATAGGTGCCCACCATCGTGCTCGGCTAATTTTTGTATTTTTGGTGGAGACAGGATTTCACTGTGTTAGCCAGGATGGTCTTGAGCTCCTGACCTCGTGATCCACCTGCCTTGGCCTCTCAAAGTGCTGGGATTACAGGCAGGAGCCACTGCGCCCGGCCTGCACTTTGTAGCAATATAAAACCTCACAGATTTGAGTCAGAGCTACCAGGACTAATCAAAGCCCACCCATCCTTCTATCAATAGGTAGACACAGTAGGCTGAGGATGACTTCTTGGCCTGCTGTTTTCTTCTTGGACCTGATATTGAGTCAAGATGAATTTAAACCCATAATCAAATAATGAGAGTTCATCCTCTGCCCCATAATTCCTGTTGACCTGGAAAGTATATTACCTCCTTCCTAATTGCCATGCAAATCACATGCATCTGATATTCAGAGGAGTGAGGGCAAGACCAGGATTTCAAATCTCAGAATTTGAGGTACATCTGATTCAAATTTAAAGCATTGCTGAAATTACGCATTTAGCAAAAAACATGCTATCTTCTCCCTGCAGTCCCCCTGAGAATATGTGCATAATAAAGGTATCATCCATTTTACATGCAAAGCCTTTGTGGGGTTTTCCAGTGTCTCATATCTAATCACAGTTAAGCCAACAAAGGGATTACAGCTTTATCGGGAATTTATTTTGCAAGACTGCCACATGGTTCTGCAAGATATGGTATCCTGTTTTTCCCACTATGCTGAGTCCAAAGATCCCATTAAATAAAGTTGAACTCCTCAGTTATGCAGAAATATAAACAGTCTGCTCAGTGTGGCTTGGTATTATATTTTCATTTAGGAAAAAAATAAATTTCTAATACCAAACAGTGTTGACCCCTGTAACTCAGAAGTTAGAATATAATAAAAGGAAATTCTAAAATTTCACCAGAAGAAAAGGCACTACATAGTCACATACACACATGCACATGTTTTGCCATTTAATGTACCATAGCCATAGAATCTACTTGCTAATCAATGATGCCTGAAGCTTTTCAGTGGATAAACTAGTGAGGGCGTTCTATACCCCTTTGTAGTATGAAACAAACCCAGCAGAAATCTTTATAGCATCAAATCTAAACTATTTTCTTAATACATAATTAATTCAGCCCAATCTGAACATTTGGTATTGTGTGGGATTAGTAACAGAGTGGCTGGAGAAAGATACAAATAGGGTGTCACATCTCCACTGTGTAGGTTTCCATAGGCTACAGATCTAATACTGCCATGGTCCTCAGCAGGCCAAACCAGTGGAATAGATTGTCCAGGCCCAGGTATGATTAGATTCAATCAACCTTTTTAACTAAAACAAGATTATTCTATTTCCATGTAATACTGTGAACTTAAATCCCAAGGAGGAAACCTATTATATACCTTCAGACCTCTATACACTCTCTTTCTACTAACAGTCATAGAAATTCAAGCCACATCTCCTCAGGTGCATTTCCTTTGATGAAATGATGAATGATATGGTAGGAGATGGTGGCAATGGCAGAAGATTGTGGAATTGTTTCTTTTGAAAGGACATTGATAACCCCATTCTACATTGGATTTTTGTTCACTCACATAGTTGCCTCTGGCTGTTACCTCCACATAAAGGGAGATATTGCATTTTCCAAAATGGCTGCAACAATATCTCCATCTTTCCTGCTCTTATTATGTGATCTCACCACTCCTCTATCTTGAAGGGAGTCTAATTCTCCTCAGTTTGAATCTGGGAAAAGTATGTGGCTACTCCTACTAGTGGAATACAGCAGAAGTGATGCTGTGTGACTTCAGAGACTGGGTCATAATAGATAATGTAGTTTTTGCCTTGTTTGCTAGAATGTTTACACTTGGAATCCAGAGCTGCTGTGTAAGAAGTTCAACTACCCTGATGTCACCATGATGTTAGGAAGCCAAACTCCATGGAAAGGCCATTAAGTGGGTGCTGCACTTGACAGCCCAGTGTCATTCCCAGCAAACAGTCAACACCAACAGCCAGCCTTGTGGGAGAGTTGTCTTGAATGTCTAGACCAGTCTAATCTTCAGAGGACAGCAGCCCCGTGACATCTGACTCCAACCGCTTGAGAGATCTCATGCCAGAAACACTCAGCCAAGCTCTTCCCAAATTCCTGGCCCCAAAGAATTATTAGCAAAATAAAATAGTTGTTTTAAGTCACTAAGTTTTTTTTTTTTTTTTTTGAGACGGAGTCTCGCTCTGTCGCCCAGACTGGAGTGCAGTGGCACGATCTCGGCTCACTGCAAGCTCCGCCTCCCGGGTTCACGCCATTCTCCTGCCTCAGCCTCTGGAGTAGCTGGGACTACAGGCGCCCGCCACCACGCCCGGCTAATTTCTTTTTGTATTTTTAGTAGAGACGGGGTTTCACCGTGTTAGCCAGGATGGTCTCGATCTCCTGACCTCGTGATCAGCCCGCCTCGGCCTCCCAAAGTGCTGGGATTACAGGCTTGAGCCACCGCGCCCAGCCAAGTCACTAAGTTTTAGGGTAATTTGTTATGAAGTAATAGTAGCCAAAACAGAATTATTTCGTAGTCACTTTTATTTCCTATTGTTACAGGGCGGTGGGGGGGGGGTCCTTTTTCTTAGAGCTCTCAAGATGGTGGCAGGCCACTTCCAAGATGGTGGCAGGCCACTTCCAAGATGGCAGCAAGCCTCTTGTTCTCTGACCTGGGGTTCTTGGCCTCACAGATTCCAAGGAATGGAATCTTGGGCCATGCAAAGAGTGTTATAGCTCTATTAGAAGCCATGGGTCACAGAAGAGAACCGTGGAACCCAGTGACTAGTGTTCAGCTCGATTAGGATGAACCCAGGCACTCAGCTGTGCAGGAACAATGGCAAGCCTTTAGCCTGATCAGGAGAGGCAGTGGGGGCCTAGCTGGATCAGAAGAAGCACAGTGGACACCCTGCTGGATCTGGAGGGGTGGAAGTCAGCGGTGGGTCTGCGATGGTGGCAAACAGCAGTGGTGGACGGCAAGCAAAAGCTCAGCTGAAGCCACAACAAACACAGACCAGAAGAGTGTGCAGTTGCAAGATTTAATACAGTGAAAACAGTGCTCCCATAAAATGGGAGGGGACCCAAAGTGTGTTGCCCCTGCTGGCACGAATGCCTGGATTTATATCCCAATTATTGTCCCTCCCCCTGTGCTCTCAGGCAACAGATGATTGGCTATTTCTTACCTCCTGTTTTAGCTTAATTCGCATTTTAGTGAGCTCTCTTTACTACCTGATTGGCTGGGTGTGAGCTAAATTGTAAGTCCCATGTTTAAAGGTGGATGCTGTCACCTTCCCAGCTAGGCTTAGGGATTCTTAGTTGGCCTAGGAAATCCAGCTAGTCCTGTCTCTCATTATTCAGGCTGTTTCCAAATTTAGGAAAATCGGAAGTTTCTGGTCACCCTCAGGGAAGGAGCATCTTTTCTAAGATACTTGACTGCTAAACTTTCCAACACTGGTGTTCCTAGAATCTGCTAACAGCCAATGGCCCTGATAAGCAGCCATATTATTAGGGAATTAGTCATAGAAAATTACATTTACCAACACTCTTCGAAGAGAAATTGCTCTGTATATTTGGGAAAACACACTTTGATCAACTACATAGCAGGGATGCGATGAAAGTAGGGCAGAATGAGATATTCAAGTCCATTTTCAAGTAGTAACAGTCACTAAACTTCCTTCTAAGAGGAGGAGGGAGTCATATATATTGTAGATCTTTTTGCTTTGTTGAGCACCTAGCTAAGTAGGGATTGCAAATTTAGGAGGAGAACTGAATTACTCAGCAAAATAGAGGAAACTGGACCGTGCTTGGAAAAAGCAAAAAGGAGAACACCCCATTTGCTTAGTGGCCATAATGAGAACTTTGGGAAACAGAGATATTTAACAATATTTTGAAAGAGTTTGCTGTGGAGCATATAAGAAAAATGGAATCCCCTCTTATCCTTACCAGAGTTTCAGTAAATAATGTACTGTTCAATAATTCTCCTGTTGCTAGTGGTTTAGGGAAATGCAAAGGTATTGAAGTTAGCAAGGGGATGAGAAAAAGACTATATTCAGGAGCCATCAGAAAGCTAGGATAATCCTGTACTGGTAAAGATGTAGCAGGGACAAAACATTAAAAAAAAAAAAAAAAAAAGGATGAGTCTGAGTATAGTAGTCTGAGTATAGTGACTCATGCCTGTAATTCCAGCACTTCGGGAGGCCTAGGCAAGAGGATCACCTGAGGCCAGGAGTTCAAGACCAGCCTGAGCAGTATAAAGAGACCTCATCTCTACAAAAATAAAATTAGCCTGGCACACACCTGTAGTACTATTGGGGAGCCTGAAGCAGGAAGGTTGCTTGAGCCCAAGAGTTCAAGGCATAGTAAGTGAGCTATGATGATCCCACTGCACTTCAGTCTAGGTGACAGTGTGAGATCTTGTCTCTAAAAAACACAAAAGTTTTTAAAAATTAAAAAGAGAATGAAAACTGCAAAAATAATAATTTACCTTATGGTATCACCCAGTTATGGAAGGTATTTTTTAAAAGAAGAATTTTATGCACACCGTCCTCTGAAGATTGGAAGAGAGAACAGGTACACACACAGGAATTCTTATGCATTGATCAGTACTTTTTTTCTCCAGGTGCTAATGATTATTTGGTTTGAAGGATAAAGAGATTTGTGGAGAAAGTTGGAGTCCAGATAAATAGAAAAAGTCATATACCAGAGTCCCATAAAAATGGCTCAATGTTTCAACCAACTGCTACCAGTGAGTCGTCATCTCTTGCTCTTTTTTAACCTTTTCAAAATCTTCCGCTCATCTGTCCCATTTTCAGGGAATGAGTTCCAATGTGAGTCTACTCCAATGGAAAAACCTGCACTAAATTGTCACCCACTGAGTCTATTTTATGTATTTCAGCTCCCAGGGTCCTGTGCATTTGTAGCCTGTGCAAACCTCTAACTCCATAAAGCTGGGTGTAAGAGAAGTATCTCATTTCTTTACTTCCTTCAAATTTAATCCAAATGTGAGTGTGAAAAAACGCTGAATATACCATTGTGAAGAGATTTTTTTTTTTCTTGAGCTCTCCTTAGCTGTCTTTTTAGAAGCAGAGCCTCCCAAAAGAATTCAATGATTATAAATCCCCTCCTTGAGAGTTAACCAGGGAAGATTGACTTCTATGGCTAGAGAGGAGAAGTTGGCACCAGAATAATAATTTCTCTAAACAAACATGGCCAGAAAACTATCTTTATCTCCCATCCATTCTCTTAAGGGCCAGTTTACCTTTCCTAAAAGTCTTTTGCTTTCCTGTAAATGCCCTTTCTCCCACCCCCCTTCCCCTACAAAAGATTGTACATAAGTCCTCAATTTTAACCACTTCCTTGAATCACATTTTGCTACAAACTTCTGTGTACATTCATGCATAAAATTTGTCTTTTCTCTTGCCAATTCATTTTTTGTCAGCTTCATTGGGAGGGCACCAAATACTAAACCTATGAAGGTACAGGAAAAATTTTTCCTGCCCCGCAAGCCTCCTGCCTTCTGAAGTGTAGAAAAATTCAACCTCTCATTACTGGGGTTGGTGGAGAGGAGTCTTCTCTTTAGGCTCCACCTATAATGTGGGAGACTCAGGCTCCAACTAGAATGTAGGAAATAGAGGGAGAACTGAAGGAAGGCCGTCAGTTCACCCTGATGATGATGCATGCTCATTGTCCAGGTTCCGTTGTTCCAGGATACTGCAGAGTCTAGCGTCTATAGAATCCCCTGCTGTCTGTGGGCAGAGCCCTGTGCTAGCGTCCAGCCGCCTTAGCTGCAGCTTTCTTAAGTCCTGTCTCCTTCCTGGGTCTCTTCATGGTGCAGGGAGCACATGCCCCCACTCTCCATGCAGATTTCCATTCACTCCAGTCTTAGGGAGTCGCCCTTCTCAAAAGACACTTATTTCTCCCCCATCTTCCTGGTACAATCTACTCAAAGGGCTCAGTTATTGGGAACAAAAGATCCAGAAAGATCCATGGTTTATAGTAATTTTTGCTTCCTATGCCCACCACATAAACCTCTCTTGAGGCAAGGGAAAGGCTCAGAGGGCAAAGCTACCTTCCTGGGAGAAGGAGAGGAAAACACAAGGCAAAAAGAAAAGAGTGATGTCTCAACAAAACACTCAAACACATATTTAACAAATTATTCCAGAAGCAGCAACTACTGCTAAAACTAGCCCTATTTGAACTCAACGGAATGGACCCTTTAAAGTGAATCCTCTAGTTCCTGCGGGTCAAACCACAGCCTCTCCACAGAAAGGCGACACCCCATTAGAACACAATCCACTTGAGACAAATCTTGAGTTTAGGCATGTTATTCTTGGAGACATAGTTCTCGTCCTATAGCAATGCTTGTGGGGCTTTCATTTCCCCTCAACAGAAAATTCCGAACTGACATGGTCACCTTGAAGGTAACAGCACCCACAACAATCTTAGAATCTCTGATCACAATGTCCTTGCTTCTTTCTAAGGTGGGATTAACCGACCTTCCCTCTTGAGTTCAGTTTCCCTGCCCACCACAGTCTCCGCCCCATAAAAGATGAGACCTGCCTGCCAGGACATGGGCTTAAATGACCTCTGAGAGGTAAACACTGAGAAGACATTTTCCTGCCCCAGACCCTACCCTCCAGGAGCATGTCAGCAATGATTCTGACGTTAGTGAGCCAAAGGCAGCCCTGTCCTACCTGGCTCCTGCCAGAAGCAGCTGCCTTTGAAAATAGCAGAAAGAGCTTTCT